GAGCTACATGTTGTTCATGAATTAAGAGTCCAAGGACAGGAAACCCACTAGAAATACAGCAACCAGACAGACCGCTGTTTGGGAGTTTAAAAGAAGGAGATGTGAAGAATTAATTTCAGGCCTGGTGTAAATGATCCAGCTTAAGAAGCAGCTTTGCATTTTGCTGTAACTTAAGTACTGTCACTGCTCGTCGTTTACTGTTTGGAGTTTGATGTGTCCATTTACCTCCCACTGTAGTCATCTATGTCCAAACACAGTCATGTGCATCCAGGTTTCAAGATTATTACTAAACTATAGTTTCAAGGATGCCGGCTGTGATGGGAATCTGAAACGCAGAATTTGCAGTGTCACTGAACCCATGTCTTCTTCATCTGATGCCCAGCACCGATTTGGAAATGCAACAATAATTGGAAAACTAGATTCATGAAATGTACCCATGCAACTTCCCAATTTCTGCTCATGTGATTGAAATGTGGTAGTTATTAGAAAAAGGGTGTTTTCATTGCACGCAGTCTGTTACCAGCTCTATATGCTCAGCCTGGGATTTGGAGGTTGAGTCGGGGTCTTACTGCTTTGACATTGCCACAAGCAAGAGGTATTCTGCAATATGAGTGTGAAAGGTGGGTGAAGAGTCATGGAATCGGTGATTTAAGCAAAAAAGTTCTGGCTTTTCCAGGCTCTGTCCCAGGGACCAGTGTAGAAGTGACCCATCAGGACATGGTAGATTGATGTATGAGAAAAGCAGACTTAATCTTGTTCCCTCTTCTTCCCCTATATCCCATGGCTGTGCGGGTTTGCAAAATTAACAAACTAGAATGTATTTGTGTCGAGGAGAGGAGCAGACATGACTAAGGGACACATGGGAGTGAATACGGGGAGGAAGAAGTTGCTGTTTTTAGACAGCCACTTTTCTGACTGAGTGCACTTTAAGCACAGATCAAGTCAACCATCCTGCAAAAGGTTCAGAGGAGGTTAGGTAAGATCCCATCACAGATCCAAAGCTGAAATTCTTCTGCCTTGGCTCTTCCAGAGAAAAGGAAAGATTTCTGCTCTGGAGGCAATTTGTAAAGGTGAGCGCAGTGCCCCAGACTTACCCTCTCGTTAAAGCTCTAGCTTACCCATGTGCTGCCGTCATTGAACTAAAGTCACAGGGCATTTCCATCCAGCTGTAGATTGGGTGTTTTCTGATGTGTTTCATGTGTTACACAGAACAATAGTGGAGGCAAGAGCTTGAAACGTGTTCTCCATGCGTTAAATCTTGATGGACAAGAAGCAGGGTGGGAGATCTGCCCAACTCTCCTTCTGTGTCATGCAGCAACATAGTTATCCCAAAACAAGGACTGCAAGATGTTTCATTTAAAACTGGAATTACTTCAGTGTCGTGCACTCACATCCCTCCTGTAGATACAGCGCAGCCTTGAATGAGTTCCCATCATGCTGTCAAGGCTGGTTATTTTCCTGTCAGGTCTTGCTGGGGCTCCTGCATAGGTTCTTCTTTTGAATTGTCTTGTTGGCTTGTTTTTATAAGTTAATGGTACAGGGGGGAGAAAAAAAAAAAAGAGTGGTACTTACGGGAAGACAGTTTGCAAACACCTTGTCGGCAGGGCTGACTGCAACACAGTCGAGACAGATTAGCACACCACTGCCTGCCTAAAACAAATAAACACCAGCTGTTTATCAGACAGGGCTCAGCTTTCTCCAGGAGGAGGTAAACAGATTTATGCAGATGAACCTCCCAGGTGCCCTTGCAGCACAGCATCTTTCATGGCTACTCAGCCTTCCTTATGAGTTACAGCCAGGACAGATGAGCAAAGAGATGCAAGGTTAGCACAATAACACAGGCATTTGCACAGTGCCAGGGCGGTTTGTCATTGCTTTATGTTTAAAGCCCATATTTAATAGCAATGGAGAATTAATCATAGTGCTGACCTCACTGTGAATGGAAGAATTTGATGTAAACTTCAGTATTTTAGGCCTATAGCACGTGAAAAAGCAATTCATTATAACTCACTTGTTATTCCATTTGTGCCTAAAATACTATGAAGCAAAATTTATGGCCATTTGAGGATGAGAGAAACCGTGATCAGCAAAAGTACTATTCTGAATCTACATTAAGGTTGTCCAGTTTCTGTCAAACTGCTTAACTTCATTAACCTTTTTTTTTAATGATCATCCAAGTTTACTTTAAATCCAGCAGTGCTACATGAGTCCACTAGCTCAAAAGCATTGCTTCTCTCTCAGTTCAACTCTGTCTGCCACAATATCCCCTTTAATTCTTCATATACATTTTCCCTGAAGCTTCTCAGGTGACCCTAACAACGCGCTGCAAAATCTGGTCTTGAAGACAGATGGGATATTATTTTAATAATGTAGACATAATTACACAGTCTGGATGCCAGCTCTCAGAAACATCTGATCACTTATTAAGATGTTGTTGGGAGGAAAAATTGGGAGCTGAAAATTTTGGGCAAGACCCTGGGGAGTTCAGAAAGAGAGGTTTGCTTCGGTTCTCATGATGTTACCACTTACTCATCAGAAGTGTAAATAATCTCAAATAGTATTGCTGGTTATTCTGAGACAGTTTCCTTTTTAACTTTATCTCACACCAAACGAGGCAATTGAATTGCAATTGCTACATTTCTGTTGGGATTCTGAGTTTTTTAAAGTGTCCTTGGGCTCCTTTTAATACAAGATCATTTCCCTGCAGCTTTCTTGACTGCTGCTCTTCAGGAAACCAAAAATGCAAATACATGGTTTGTCAATACAGTAAATCCTAGGTACTGTAGTGATGAGTGCTGTAGAAATACTTGCCAAGAGAAAGAGGAAAAAACCCTTTTCCTCTATTAAGTAAATTGGTGCCATTTGAGCTTTTCTCAGATTAGGACTTTCCTCACCCAAGTGCATCACTTAACATTTCAACACGTAGTATTTCAGATTTCTCAAGGTAGTCCTTAAACACTCAACTAAACCAGGTGGAGAAGGCAAAGTCCACATGTGATTTGTTCTCCCTGGCTGTCACTGCAGATTTAAAACCAAAGTAATTTTGGATGTGCCTTACTATCCTGTGCCGTAATGTTACCAGTATTAATAATATTGGTAACTAACAGTTTTCAGTCTATTGAACAATTAATGAAAAGGTCAAGGGGAATTCTCTATAGAGGCATCGTTCATTACAAGGCCCATTGCTTATGCAATCTCGCAGCATCTGTCTTCCCAAACAAGCAAAAGGGACAGAGGTGGCAGCTCCTTAAATCTGCCTGTGAGCTCCTAATTAAAAATAACTGTATGAAAGCCATTAGGATGTTAGTCTTCCAATCCCTTGGCTTTTTGATGCACTAAGTGGTACCTATGTTGGGGCATATGCTCCCTAGGGTTGATGCAGGTGCCTACTTGGGCATCTGGGTGGTAGGAGCTGATGGCAGATTGTGACCACTCTTAGTGATGCTTCCCCACAGACAGTTAGAAACCTGCTGTTAGTCACCTTCACCTCCTGCGTCTGTAGAGCCTGAAGAGAAACATGTCTGAGCTGAGGGGTGCCTACCTGTACAGCTCCTGTGGCATGTGGAAGAGATGGAAAAGACTCAAAAGCAGTCCAGTTTGTGAGCAAACAGATGCAGGGCCAAGTTGTGAATGCACCATGATTTCCTAGAAGTGGAAAGAGGGCACTGCCCTGTCTATGCCTCTGCTTGAGGAGACCTCTAATGCATCAGCTTTTGCTCACCAAGCACTGGAGAAGATTGTGTAGCTCTCACTCCCCTGCCATAACCACCAAGCTGAAGCTGGGGGTGGTCTGTGCTACCACAGGTCTCAAGGGGGAGAGTAAGCGCCAGTGAAGGGCAGTTTAGAGAGATGAAGTTTTGGGTACTGTGCCTCCAGAAAATGCTATGGTGGCTGTGCATCTCTAGCTACTTCCACAGTTTATTCCAGGCATTAAAAAAGCCTCTTTGTATTGCCAGAGGAGTTGTATGGGTGCTGAGATGCCAGAAAGGTGCTTAGAGGTTTGACAGCAAGTAGCTGTGCCCTACTGCTGTCCCCAAAAGAGAGTATGGAGACCTTCAAGCTCTCCCAGCAACCAGTGGCATTTAATCACGGTGCAGCGTTTGTGGATATCCTGATAGTTGCTTATCTACCCTTGTAGGTGCCTAGTACCCGGGTAGATTTAGCCCTTATGAATGACCCTGTTAGCTGAGCAGGCCAATCTTCCTAGGCCTCTGTACCTTTGCTAAATTAATAGCTATTGCTCTTTTGATTCTTCCTGAAACCTCAGTTGCTATTCTCTGTCAGTCCTCGCTGTCCTAAATGTCAGTAGAAAGGATCATTGAAACTGATGGGTTCAGTTTTTCTGTTGTGCCAGTGACTTTATCCTGGGGTAACCTTGTTTCTGAGGGAACAGTCATGTAGGAGATGGCTGCAGGGTCAGGGTCTCGCTGTGGGGCAGCGCTTGGCACTTCCAACCGGCTCCTGCTCATGCCCTAAGGTGCATGGGGTTCAGCGGTCCTCCTTCCCTTGGGAACGCTTTGCCAAGCGTTCAGCCTCGAAAATCTGGCTGAGTTTGGGTTTAAACGGATCCAAATTGAAATGCAAAATTCAACAGGACCTTCTAATCTCGCCTGGCCTGTCACTGGAAGTATGTGACCTTTGCTACGCCTCACAGGAGGTGAATTATTTTCAGGATCGTTCCAAAAAGATTCAGGTCTTTGTAGCAGATTTTGCCCCAAAGGTTCCTCTCCCTGAGGACAAGCGTGCTGTGAGCTTGTACTGAGAACGTGATAAAACCTCAAGTACATTTCTCACAGATGTTTTGCATGAGACTAGCTCCATCCCAGAGATGGCGGCATTCCGTGGGTGTGTAAAAAGATCCCTGTAGATATTTTTGCACAGCAATTTCAGATCTTTTGCAGCTTTCTAAAAAAATTGAATTAGTTGTTTTCCGTTCCCCAAATTAACCCTGATTCATTCTTCCCTCAACCCTCTCCCTCTTCCTCCCCTCCCTCCAACAGATGTCCAGCATATTAAGAGGAGAGACATCGTTTTGAAGAGGGAGCTGGGAGAAGGTGCCTTTGGGAAGGTGTTCTTGGCCGAGTGTTACAACCTCAGCCCCACCAACGACAAAATGCTGGTGGCAGTGAAGGTAAATCCCAAGGGCGAATGGCAGAGAATAGGGAGGGGCTCACCAGCGAAGCGAGGCTGGATGAGCCTGCGTGGGAAAGGGAAGCAGGGGAGGGCTGGGGACCAGGGGTGGAGATTTATCTAATGCCGGAGATTGTGGTAAATCCACTTAGTCACACAAAGTTTCAGTGTTTCGCTTCAAGGTCGTCTATTCTCGCCAATGCCAAAGCCTCTCTTCCTGCTGATGCGCCCAGGAGACAGACAGGGAAGAGAAGCTGGTCTGGAAGCTGTAAGCTCCTGTGCAGCTGCAGCAGCGCAGTGTGGAGTCCACCTTCTCTCCACAAAGGACCGAGGCTCTTCTCTTTCCGGATTTTCTCTCTTTGTGGAACATGCAGAAGCTGAAACAAAAAAGGGCCTCAGCAAAAATGAGCACTTAAAAGCTAAGCACGACTAACCAATTTGCTGGGATCGATTTGCTGCAAGATGGGCAAACCAACTCAGCTCAGCTCCACTCAGCTTCTGCTTGCCTAGCCACAGATCGCTCCTGTTTTGGTGATTATGAGCCAACACGAGTTCAGCTTGGCTTGTGTTTGCATCCTTTGAGGGACCTCATGTGAGCTCTGCCCCGTCAGTGTGGCTCTGGGCAGAGGAGACCACTCAGTGCGGAAATGTGCTCTCTTCTAAGTGGCACCAGCTGGCAGACACACATAGTCTAATCCCCGGGAGTTAATTGATTCCTCCTAACTCCTTGGAAGAAGATCTGCATTTGAACCGATGCTCTACAGGAAAAAAAAATGTTCCAGCACACTCTCCAGGATGCTGGAGGCATCCAGTTACTTGACAGTTGTTTTAGTTATTGGCAGTTTGAGCCTTTTTTTTGTCCCCTTATGGTCTGACTGTGAACTGCAAGATTGCACCTTTCACCTCTGAGACTGGTTAAAGCCGAGGTAGAACAGCTACCCGTATGATTAATTGCCTGATTATATGGCTGGTACCTGCCTATCAGTGTCAGCCATCCCTTATGCGATCCTGTCTCTCAAGTCTCAGTTCTGAGTTTTGTTTGCATGTAGGCAGAAATAGCATCCGAACTTGTTTCTGTTAATTGCTACTCTGAGCTTACATGTCCAGAGTGCCTTTCATCCTGCAAGATTGTACAGATCCAGCTTTGGAGCGGGGCCTTGAAACCTGGCTTCTTGTCATTTCTGGGGGGTTGCAGGGAAAAAGTCCCTCTAATTTGGGCTACATTAGGGGGGAAAAAAAAAAAAAAAAGGAAGAAAAAAAAGGCTTTATGTATTATGTTGAGATTTTGCTGCATTTCATGAAGATCTCATGCTCCTGACAGAGGCTGAGAACTACCTCCCTGGTCACTGCAGCTCAGGGCAGCAGGAGGACATTCTGGTTAGGGCAGCTGTGTCCACAGCCAAGAGTCTGCCTCTGCTCTGCTCTCAGGGACTCCTTCCCAGGTCCAAAGGAAGTGGCTGTGTTACTCACTTGGTTAAATGGACTCAGATTTTCAGCAGACCTAAAGGTTGCAGCCCCACAGATAAGCTGAGTTTTGATGTGATGGCATGGACAAGCTTCCTGTTTTATCCAGCTTTCTTCTAAAAGCATCCTAAGAAATGCACAAAAACTATGTTCAGCAAAGAGTGTTGAGGTTACAAAGTCAAGTACTAGAGATGCTGGAGGGACTGGTATCCAGGGCATGTCTTCTGAGCACATATTTTTCGTTTCTTTATGGGCTCCTCCATTGTGATGATCACTCCTGTGTCTGAGATCTCCCTAGATGTGAGTACACCCGTTTTCAGAGCCTCGCAGCAAGGTGCTGGGGTTGTGTCATCCCCATTTTGCAGAAGGCAAATGGCGAAGCAGGGAAACTGAGCTGAAAGGATCCACTTCAATGGAGGATGGAGTTACTGACTTTCCAGCCCCGTGGACAGCTCAACTCACATTGAGCTCTGCTGCAGCAATAAACACACGGTGCTTGTGCAGACCTGGCCCTGCTACCATGTGAGAGGGGATTTTCCAGGCACTATTGGAACAACTGACACTTCATGACAATGGCTGCAACCTACAGATGCTGAGTGACTTGCCAGATGTCACGCTGGAATTGTGTGATGGAGGCACAAATACAAGCCACCTCAAGCCTTCCTAGGAGATGCGTTTCAGTGGTTTTGCTGAGACAGCCCTTCTCTTCCTCCGGTTCTGGTCTTCTTTCCCTGTTCCAACACTTCCAGCTCTTGTTTCCCTCATTTCTAAATGCTTGTCTGTGCAACCTTAGCAATGTGGGGGTTTTAAGATCTTTTTTTTGTGTATGTGTGTGTAATATTTACAAACTTACAGTCCTAACACCTTGTGGAAATGATTGTGTGTGAAGGAGAGGAAACCTAAATGCACTGCAGTTTGAAATATTACAAACACCACAAGAAAAAAGGGGAGAAAAGAGTGGTGGGGGAGGGGACTGTTTTCCTGAGGAGAAATAGGGTAGCATCAACATTATGAAGATATGAAATGACTAAAAGTAATTGGGTGCCTGAGATAAGGATGGATGCTTTGCCATCTGCACTGTGTAACTAACATCCATCTAAATATCTCTAGTCAAACTATCCCAGAGGACATAGAATTAAAATAAAATTATGCCATGTGACTAGCAGTTTGGGGGCAGAAGAAGGAGATGAGGCGGCATCCTAAGGCTTGGCTAAAAACCTTGCAGCAGTTCTACTCCAAGGGGAAAAGCACCTACTCTGGAGGACTCACTACGTTGCTTGCATGGCATTACACTCTATGCACAGCTTTCTGATGCTTAACATCCCTTTTTACACATAAATTGGGGCCTGAACCTGCTGATGCCACCTATCCTGTCTGCATGGGGAGATTCAAGGCATGGGGAGAAGGGTGCAGGTGTGTTTGTGTGTAGGTAAGGGGAGAGATACCTACTGTTCCCCACCACTGAGGGGGAATTGGTACACATCAGACTGAATCTGGGGATAACTGGAACAAGTTCCCTTAAATCCTTTTTGACTCCTGTTAGGCTGCACATTTAAAGCCAGAACTGGTACTAAACAGTCCTGGCATGTGGAGGATGGGGAGAATGTAGCTGAGACCAAATCAAAACCAGAATTGCCTCTTCATTTCCTTAAATGTTTGCAAAGACTGCTGATTCCTATGGCCATCCCATCTTGTCAAGTGTTCTGGTCTTCAACTTTTTTACTAAGTGGCCTCCCTTGGTACCCTGAGATGACAACACACTGCTTTCAAACTAGCTCTCCAATGCAACTGCACGGTAACGTATTGACAAGACAGATTCCAATCCTGGGGAACCCTCCCCAAACACCAACTGCACCCACAACAGCATCTTCATAGCAACCCTGTGACGTCAGGCTGTTCCACACAGCCTGGAGCCTGCAAGCTACCCTGCAACGGCCATGAGGTGTGCTTAAATGTAGAAGATGAGATATTCTCAATAAGGATACCAATTTCAGCATCAGTTTGCTAGGGGTGCTGTTATAAACAGCAGGGAATAAAAACATGATTTTAAAAATTATGAGAAAAGACTTGACAGTGTCCTTCTTCAGAGGCAGTTTGAAAAATCCACACAATAACTGCACAGCCAGGCAAATCCATCTTCTGAATAAAGGCAGTGTAGTCAGCTATTTCAAAATAAAAGAGAGATAGCAAGGACTGGCCGGCTCAGGAATTTAATAATAATGAGATATGAAGCCATTCACTCCTAGGTCACCAGTACAAATCCTGCCCAAGATGGGAATAATTGGAAACTATTGCCCTCTGAGGTATGTTTGTTGCTACCCGGGAAATGATTTGGGGAACCTGCTGGGTTGGAAACTACATGAACAAAACACTGAGGTGGTGCCACCACCACCTACCACCAGCCCTCCCAGTGCAACTGGGATAGTGGCAGTGGTTCCTCTCCCCTCCCTTCCTCATCAGCTCCTCTGTGATGCTGCACCCCATTTGTTTTGGCCTTGCCCCAACCTCAGCCCACTGTATGTATCTGTGCCCCTTCTTTCAGGCGCTGAAAGACCCCACCTTGGCAGCCCGCAAGGATTTCCAGAGGGAGGCAGAGCTGCTCACCAACCTGCAACACGAGCACATCGTCAAGTTTTACGGCGTGTGTGGTGATGGTGACCCACTCATCATGGTCTTCGAGTACATGAAGCACGGTGACCTGAATAAGTTCCTGAGGTATGTGCAAAGGAGAGCATGGGAGATGCTGTACAGTAGCTCTGCAGCCTTGGTGTGGCTTGTTATAGATCTGTGGTGCACCAGTGACACCATTACCGCATGGATGCTGGTGGGCTGAGTAATGAGAGCCAGTTGTTCCAAGGACAGCGTGTAGGAGATGGTGTTCCTCATCATATTTGGTGCTTTGTTAGCTCTACCCCAACATTTCCTCTTGGATAGTTCCAGGGATGGTCCTTGCGAGCTATGGAAACCAGACTTTTCTTCTCCCAGCGCAGCCAGTTTGAAGCTGCAGGAAGCATGGCTGCAATCCATCTCTGCCCTATGGGGGTAGAAGGACATGGAGCCATGGCTATCAGCAGCTCCGAGTCCCATACACCCAGTAAAGCCATGTCACGCTCAAGCAGGAAGGCCACTAACCATCAATCCCCATGTCACCCAGCTCTTGGTCCAGTAGCACAAGAACCAAAATATTCCTTCTAGTCCTTTGATTGGTATCCTGGGCATTTACTGATCTCTAGTTCTCATTCCTATATTCAGAAAAGACCTGAGAAACGTTGCACGGGCCTCAGGTGGTGCCTGTGGAGTCCGTCCCTGGTCCTTCTTCCCTAAGACAAGGAGACAGAGATCCTGACTGAGATACAAAATACCCTAACTTGTGGCACCACGCTACTCAAGAAGCTAGGCAAGGCCTGACAAAGTGCTGTAATTGCCTTCCCTGTCTCCAGAGAGATGCAAATTGCTGGAGCTCCCCTCCCCCTCCCCAGGCATCATTCAGCCATTTCACCAGCGTGAGGCAGATCATTTGTGTGCCCTGAATCCGCCAGTGGTGAGGGGCAGGGAGCAACTGTGGGAGGATGTTTGTGGTGCTGTTCTCCCACGGTACAGAAATTACGCTCTGAAACCTACGTGCAAGTGGAGTGGTACTTACCTCTTGAAATAATTAGTAGTTTTATTTCCCAGTACTTAGAAAATTGGACCCTTGATATTTTCCTGTTTTGACTGCTAAGTGTGAACATGATTGCAGCAGGAACAAGAAGCTTGAGCACAGCAGGTCTAAATCTGGGGTTGGGATACACTCAGTGATTATTTTTCCACCATCACAGTCAGTTTCTGACCAGGAAACACGAGTCCTTCCCTGAGGTTTTCATTTCTAAGCAATCACTTACACCAGAAGAGCTATGGGGAAGGACCCCAGAGGTTTCTTCTTTCCTCTGCCAAGCAGTGCCAACCTGTCTGCATCTCCCTTGGGGCGTTCACAGGGCAGTGGCTGAGCTGGGGTCATCCCTGCATTGATTTCCCTCCTCATTTTGGCATAGTTGCAGGTAGATTGAATATGATTTTATAGCTCAGTCCCTGTCTCAGGCTCTGGGTAGATGGTATCCTTGGCAAAGTAGGACGAGTGAAGGTTGATGTTACACTAGCTTTGTAGAGCTCCTCAGACCCACGTTCAAGGGGGAGCAGCCTTGGTTACCCTTGGACCCTCTCTTGTGGTGTACCCTGTCTTGCAGGGGCTCAACAACCTCCCAGCAGCAGCAGATTGAATTCTGCCTACTGGCATGAAAGCGGGCATTGGGCTGAAATGGTGCTTTAGTGCAGATTGGAGATGCAGTGTGAAGGACAGTGCCTCAGCCTTGTGACTGGAGGAAGGCAGTCTGAAAAGGAGCATGAGAGACTGCGTTCTTGAATTGCTTCACAAGGAAGAGAAAAAATTGACATATCTTTTTTCCTGGCAGAACCAGTAACCTTATTCTCCTTAGAGGAGGTAGACATTACAGCTGAGGCATAGCTTCCTTCACCGCTCTAATTGACCTCCCAAACAATATAGTCCAAAACAGACTGTCTCAGAGGGATGTCTCGTGCCCACTGTCAATGCCTCCTGGAATTGCTTCACACAACAGTTGCTTTTAAGACTGATATCATGCTGGAGCCACAGACCCCCTCACCTCCACATCCCAACACTGCCGTGGGACATGTCTGGGAAACACTCGTGCCCTGGGAGGCCAGGGCCTGCCCCAGTGTCACTGGAGAAGAAAGCTCATTGTTGTATTATCTTTGGTCTTTATGAAGGAAAGAAACTTTCCATATGTGTGGTCCCTGGGATTGCAGCCTCTCCTCTTCCAGCTGCATTTGGCTGTCAGCTTCTCTTTCTCATGCAGCTATGGACCAAGCAGCTACGAGCTCCCTTCTCCGCGTGTTGGTGTGTGATAGGCAGTGAAATTCCTCTGTGTTCCAAATGAAGCTGGCTTTTGTGACAAGGGAACTTATACCCAGCAAACAGGAACTCAAAATGCCTAAGGGGGCATATGGAAAGAAGTTCTTGGGCTTTGTTTGTCATGTCAGCAATCTGCTGGTGGGAAGCTCTGGGGGATGGGGGCTGCAAGGGGACAGAGAGGGTTGGTGGTGCAGGAGTGCCTGTCATGCCTCAGTGAGCAGCAGTTTTTATTGTAGTGTGATTCACCCAGCCCACAGCAGGAGATGGGTGCTCCCAGTCAGTAGAGGAACTCTGGGATTCTGTAAGAGGCACTCAGATGGACTTTTCCCAATTTAACTGCAGAAATTGGAAAAGTGGTAAAATGGAAGAGGCTCACTTTAGACCCAGTTTCCTAGAGAAAAGCACAATAAATAAATTCCCATAAGTGTCATTAGACCATTGTGTGCTTCCCAGAGAAGAGAGAGAATTTTACTGGTCTGTAGAATTAACTGGTGTGTCAAGGGGAAGCTCTAGAATCAACACTTACCAGCGGGGTTAGAGGTGACATGTATTAGGATGGCTCTACACGACTCCCAGGGCCCCTGTGTGTAAGACCGTTGCTGGTGGTACAGCAACTTATCCTGCTGTCCACACCAGGGCAGGCTGCCATCGTGGTGTTCTGGCTAATAGAAAAGAGATAGCGAAGAGATCCTGCCATGGGGAAACACAGGCACTGCTGCCCAGGGAGCTCGGCATCGCTACACAGGGGCTGGAGACTGCCCGCAGGTTGTGTGTGTGGCAAGGCTGGGTGCTCCCCAGCACACAGACCTGCTACTCGGGGATCTGCAGCAACCGCCTTCCCTCTCTGCTCACCAGATATCTCCATCGTTTCCTCCCTTTCCTTCTGCCACTGGTTTTCTAGCATTTGTTTTCTGTCTGTGACAGCAGCAAATTTACGGTAGGGGTATTTGCACGTTGCCATTGCAGACCCTCTTTGCAGTCTATAAGAAGTTGTGGCCATTTGCTGTTAACTCAGACAGGCAATGGATTTTGATAGGAAAGTTGCAAAGTTCTGAGGTTTTTGTGTCAGCCCTTCCGCTGAAGCAGCCCCACAGTCAGACTGTCTTGGGACAGAAAGAGAAATTTCAGCAGATGAAGCCAGAGGGGTGATTTTCTTCCTCATGTTGACAAAAGCCTCCATCACTCCATAACGGAAAAAAGTCCCAAGAGATCTTTAACAGGGGATCCACCCAATTTTATGGCCTCTCTGTAAAGCTGAATTAAACCTCTTCCCCCAAGAAAAGACGGGCAGACCCTCCACATATTCCCTGTAGGCTTCTTGACACAGCTAAATGTACTCATATCCTTCCTGTTAGCCTCATACATGTGTTGATACTTCTCTCTTCTGGACTATAACCATGTGGGATGGAGAAAAGGAGAGAGGGAAGTGTATGTACTATATAGGGCATACCAAGATGTGTCCTACATAGTAGGATGTACAAAGAGTCAGAGAAATAAAGGTGTTGGCTGACCATTTTTTAAACATCAGCTGTTCCCTTCAGATGCAGACATCTCTTTGGGGGCCATTATTGTATTTGAAAAAAGTGGCAGCAATGAGGTAGTAACACATCCCTCACTTCTCACCTAGGAATGTTTACCTTTGATGACAACAGGTATTAGCTGCAGCTAAATATGGCGTAACTGCAAGGCATGACTGGTACAAACCGTCCAGCACAATTTTAGAAGCTATTGTTTGTCCTGCTTTGCTGTTTTTAGCTAACCTGCTCAGTCCTGGCTCAGCTTCACCTGCTGTCGACATCTGCTGTCACCACCAGGTAATTTCCTGGGGTAATCCCATCTGTGGGCTGTTTAAATAAGTCATCAGGCAGTTAATTTTGCATACACTCTTCTGCAGCTCCTCCTTGCCCTTAGCAGCTCTTCCAGTGTGCTGCTGCTCCCACCATGCCCATGACCCTCCGAGATGCCTCCGGCAGCCCCAGCCCTGCCACCCACAGTGCTGCTCACAGCCAGCTCATCCCACATTCACTGCAGTGTCACCCACTGTGGCTCCAAAAAAACACTCCTGGCTCCTCAGCACTCATTTCTGGAGTTCCTCTCCTCTTCCAGCTGTCTTTTCTCCCAGGAGGGGACCTTCAGAGCCGTGTTCCCAGTGGTAGGGCAGCAGAATGTAGCTGAAGAGGGAGGCATTTGAAAAACTATCAGTTGAATCCCAGACGCCTGGATGCTAATCCCTTTGGTGCACCCTCAAGCCCAACAGAGCAATTAGAGAACAGAGACAAAGGAGGGAAACAGATTGGATCTTGTTGTGGGTTGTTCAGTCCCATGTCAAGAAGCAGGGAAATCTCTGTATGTGCAGTTTCAATTTGCTGTCTCTCTGTGGGGTTACTGCTGATGACAGGGGTGAAATGCCAAGAATCATTTCAAAGAGAGCAATATGAAAGCCTTGGAGGAAATGCTGTATTCTATCTTAGTCACTAGGAGGAAGGTCACAGCAACATCTTTTGCTTTTCCCTAAATATGAGGGCTTTTGTTATTCCACCTTTGCACAGGCTACCACAGGGTGAGCTCTACCAGGGGAAGAGACATCACAGAGGGAGCACGGCAAAGACAGGCTTGGTACACAGCAAGGAAGGGGACTAAAAAGGGGACAGGACAGGAATGATACTGACCTTAAGTCCTGCATTTACGATGCACTTGGTTCAGCAAAATATTTCCTTTTGTTGTCCAGGATGTTCTCTGCATCTGCTGACATCCAGGTCTAACCTTTGCACCTGTGCTTGTGCCTTCATAGTTCACTGTGCTACCTCTGGGATAGCTTAGGGTATAAAAGGTATTTTCCAGGGATAAAGATGCTGGTGTTCCTCTGAAACTTTTTCTGTGGTCTCTGGCTGTATTGGTATCAATCAGGGGGCAGTTGTTTGGTGATACGGTGTTTGAAGGAAATAGAGAAGGCTATTTGGGATTAATAAAGAGACTAAGTAGTGAGAATATGGTGGCTGTGGAAGAAAAGTGGGTGATATCTCTGCCTCTGGGGAGGTTTTCAAGGAGTAATAATTAACTGGAGCAAACATGCAAATATCTGCAGGCCCAGTAGTTTTGCATAGGTCTTGCCAGAGAAGAATGTCCCATGTTGCATCAAGCTGATGGCCCCTCTGTCCTGGCAGCCTGTCTCCATCTGTGGCTGTAAGAGGCTGCTTGCAGCAGAGTAAGGATAGGGTAAGGATGTATGACACCCACTCACCCATCAAATGTTCCCCCGGCCTCCTGTTCTCTTAAGCTTTTCTTTTTTCCTTTCTACTGGAGCTGTGTATACATCCTCACAGTGCAGAGTTGGGGGCTAGTACCCATCCCAGCAGGAGCAGCGACCGTGTGGGATTCCTGTCTCCTGGTCACTTTTGAGACCCAACTCTATGCTTTTTGCTTCTTCCTCCCTATAGGGCACATGGCCCAGATGCTATGATCCTCGTGGATGGGCAGCCTCGACAAGCCAAAGGGGAGCTAGGGCTATCCCAGATGCTCCACATCGCTAGCCAGATCGCGTCTGGAATGGTGTACCTTGCCTCCCAGCACTTTGTCCATAGAGACCTGGCCACCAGGAACTGCTTGGTCGGAGCCAACCTGCTGGTGAAGATTGGAGACTTTGGGATGTCAAGAGATGTCTACAGCACTGATTACTACAGGGTAAGGCAGCTCCAGCGTCAGTCTGATGCTCAGAGCAAAGGGAGACTAGGAAATGTTACAGTAAATCAGTTTTTGGAGCTCTTGGGCTCACTCGCTTGGTTATTCCCTCATTGAAACATGCACACAGATGTCGATCAGGCATCCCTGAACCACTGTCCTTACTCCTTTTCAGACCTGGGCATGCTTGTAGTTCAGACATCCATGCAGATGCCCACACACAGAGCTGTCTGTGATACTCCAGCACACAGTCACATGCTTTGGGATGGCTCTGAAGTCATCCCAGTCTTCCTTCCTTCCTATTTTTTCTCCCTCTTTTTTGAAGACATTGATAAATTAAAGGTAATCCAAAGACATGACAAAGACTACAGGCTGTGACCTCTGGTGTCAGATTAAAGAAACTTAATACAGGGACCTAGAGAAAAGGCAACTGAAAGACTGACTGATAAGTGCATAAAATACGGAAGAGGAAATAATAGGCAATTTAGGTTCGACCTCAAAACACTTTTTTCCAGCAGGGTCATCATTTAGACAATGGAATAATTTGCAGAGGTAGGTTGCTGAGGGCCCAGCATTAAAGAAGTTCAGGAAGCAACTAGATAAAAATGTCTGGGTTTAGTGCAGAGGCTAATCCTGCTCTTGTCTCTGGGGACGGACTCAATGAGTCAGGAATGGCTTTCCAGCCTTTTCTTCCGTGATTTGTGCTTGTACTGTCCCCTTGTCTTGCGCACTCCCTTTGTACCTGTCTGCACTGCCCTATCTGCCCAGGTTGGCAGTCTCCCTGGGAGGTCAGTGTGTTTATCACCCTTCCTCAGCTACAGGAGAAGCTGTGATGTGCGAAGCATTTGAAGCACATTGGAGTAGGCATCTGTCGCTGGGCCATCCACCAGCAGAGAAGGGCTTTTCAGGCTGAGGAGCAGTGGTTTCTAGCCTGATGCTTGGACTAAAGCTTGGTTTATTTCTGGCTACAACATGGATGTTTGCCTTTGAGGATGATTTCTATCAGCCATCCAAGAAAGGGTTGACCTATGGTCTTGACCTGATTCAGAAGGTTTTCTTATGTGACGGGCAGCTGCCAAGTGGAGTCACTGTGTTGGGGAGGAGGAAAAATGTGATTAGATTTCTACTGAGACATATCACCTCTCCCAGCCCAGGACATTGGCTTATAACTATTTAATTATTATTTAATAATTAAATATTTAAATAAATATTTAAATAACTTATCATTTTTTAATTACCAGTGAGGGAACCAGTCTTCACTGTGCAGCACAAAAGCCTGTGTTGGGAGAAGGTCTTGGTGCAGCTGCTGGGCAGTGATGAGGTAAGAGTGGTGGCTATGGTCCCGTCACTGCTGAAACTTCAGGAAGGAGCGAGTAGGAAAAAAGAAGAGCCCAGGGGAGGATGAGAAGTAGCCCATGTGATTACCCATGTACTTGCTTCCCTCCTTTCCTTCAGCTGTGTTAGACCTACCCCAAGCACAGTCAGTGTCACACTGCTTGAGACAATCCCAGCCAAGCTTGTGTTCCTGCGGCACTGCAAGCTCTCCATGTGATGGGAGAATTTGCTGCTACTGACATGTGAAGGCTGGGATGGTTCTCAAAAAGAGAATGGAGATGATCTCCACAGGCCAGTTCGTCGTTGTGGGACTTTTTGTCTTCTCTGTGGTGGTGTCCTGTAGAACTCATCCTGTCTGTGCAAAACATTTTGCTGAGGATTGCTCCGTGCTATCTCGTGCAGTGTTATAAGGCTTTTTAGTGGACTTTTCTCTGCTAACACAAATTGCCATGCATGACCAAAGTAGTAAGTAGTTATCACCTGTTTACCAGAGCAAGAGCTGAGCTTCAGACCAGCACAGCCTTTTGTTCTTAGTTGATTTTCCTTTCTCTCTTTTCACTGACTTTTGGTACTTTTGAAACTCTTGGTCAGTAAGTCCATGCTCTGCATGCATGGAGACCTTTTCTCTGTTACAGTCCAAAGAAGGGTCCTAGCAAAATAAGGTTCTGATTACCCATATTTACATTGGTGGCGTGAGGGGCAGAGGGATTACGTGACTTGTCCAAGGCCAAAGCAGGATTCGGTGGCAGAGCTGGGAAGCCCATCCAGGACATATGTTCCCCTAGCAAACAGCAGAAGTCGAGGGGCCAAGTGTCCTTCATCCCCCCTCCAGCCACAGCCCAACCACACTCCTCCCAGCATATGAGAAGAACCCAAATAGGTTCATTTCTGAATCTCTTTCTCTAATCACCACCTTGTGGGACTTGTTTACCAGGAGAGCGCACGGAGCTGATATCGTTATTCATCCTTCCGGTGCACTCACCGTTATGTGACAGTCTCTGTCCTTCCCCATCCTGTCCTCTCCTCTACCTCTGCCTTTGCACAGCACCACTACATTCATTCTCTGCAAGAACTGGTGTGAGCCTTGCTGTCTCTGGACTGGGCAATCTGTTTGGTTTCTGTGTGGCGACCTGCACTTCTAAGTTCCCTATGAGCAAGAGTAGTTGACCCTTTGCACAGAAACCTGCTTGTGGCACTAATGACGCCACATGAGGCTCGTGAATTGATTGTATTAGACCTTACTTTAACTCTGGCAAGAAGCAACATTCACTTTCTCCTGCAAACATAAGTGAGAAAAACAATATGGCTTCACAACAGTTGTGCATTTGTGCTCTGTTTTCCTCACGGTTTTAATTCCTAACATCTCTTGCATGAAAACTGTCTCTTCAAGGCTCCTGAGACAATCCTTTTGAGTGCACAGACTTATCATAAAATTCACCAAGGCACCCCAAGTGAGGGCTTTTGAATGGTTACAGACAAGAGAGCAAATGAATTGCAGTGTGAGAACCAAACTGATCCTGGGTCTCGTCTATGGGAAGTGGAGATGTGGCTCAAGAGTTCAACTTTGAAACTCTTTGGTGCTGTCCCTGGTCACATCTACAACCTGCCTGGTGAAATTCCCAAGTCTGATGCTCAGTGTTTGTGCACAGCAGCTCTCCCTTGTTGACAGCCTGCCATTCCCAACAGTAGAACCTGAAGCAAAGTTCTGCTTCAGGTGGTTTATAGAGAATATGGCTTGGTGTGTCCAAGCTGCAGCCTGGGGAGAATACTGTAATTTGTCATTTTCTGGGAACACAGTGAAGGATTCCACCTCAAAGCTGACACAAAGTGACAGGTCTGGAGCTCTCTGCAAGCAAACTCACTTCAGTGTGCTGCATCCCTGTGTTTGCTCCTGCCCAGGCCCCACGAGCACGGATAACTGGGCATGTGGATGTATGAGTGTGTTCCAGGCTGAGGATTAGCTCCTAGCCATTTCCTTTCTTTCCCATTTTTAATCTTTTAAAACAAAGAGAGAACACCATCTGGCTCCTGCATTTGTGGGATGTAAAAGTGCGTTAACAAAGGTGAACTGCTTAATTTCCTGTTACACATTTGGATACAGAAAACAAACATTTGCGTAACAAAAGCAGCAGAGAGGCTTGTTTCCCCTCTCCACGAAGCTCTCCATGTTCTGCCTGAAGACAGATGTGTCCTTTTCCTTGTGCATCACAGAGGGATCCCATCAGCTGTTGCCTTTAAACCTTCTTTCAAAATGACAGGATGGAGAGAAGTTGTTTGTGGAGGTGTAGGTGGTGGGGAGAGGTGAAACAGCATCTGATTAGAAAGCGGAGAAAAGTGGAGGGACTGAGGAGACGGGGAGAAGTGTCCCAGCTTCTGTGTGAAGAGTAAAGGCGGGGATGCTGAAGAAGCATTTCTGTGATGTGTTGTGTAATTTACTGTGCAATCTTTGGTGTGGGTCTCTGTGGGAAGGCAGGATGGAATATATCCATATCGGAGAGAAAAGATTTGGGCGGATTTCGTTTTCCTTGTTGTTTTCTTTAAAAAACTGTGTGAGTAGGCGATTTTTTTAGGTATGACTCAGGACTGTGACAGCAGGTGGTGGGATGCTGCAGGTCAGGGATGTTGTGCCTCAGCCAAACCGAGTGTGGCATAGAGACTGCAGCAAGTCAGGCACACGGTGCCTGCCCCGTGCTGCCTGGGGAGCTGGAGGTTGTCACGGTGCTGGAGAGGGAGTTGTCCAGAGCTGGGGGCATCACCAGGCCTGGGTTTAGGTCCCCCAACTGCTCTTTCACCCAGCAGACTGAGGTTTGGTTGCTCCCAGAGCCCTTCTGTGGCTCTGAACTCACCTGTGCTCCAGTAAAATCCAGATAATTTTCTTTTTATCCACCAAAATGCATAATTAAATTCCAAAAGAGCTGCCCAGGGAAAGGCAGTATTTCTTCATCTTTAGAAGAGAACACAGTCTTAAATTGTAGTCAACAGTCCTTAATAGCTTCCAAGGTAATGACCTGACATAGGTGGGACATCAGCAGTGAAGACACATGACGAGTAGAAGAAGGATTTATGTAGGTATTAAACCTCATTCAGACATACCTCCGTCCAGATCTTGTATGTCCTACCCTTCTGGCATCCTGCCCCAAATTCTGGGGTGGTCTTGAAACCTCTTGGGGATTTAGCTCTAAGCTTTCCCAAAGATCTGTCCTGGTCTCAGTTCATCACGCAAAGGACACCTGCTTGTCGAAAAAAAGACACATGCAGGATTTGCAAAGGGCTCTGAAAATACGTTTCTATTTCTAGCAACTCAGAGCTAAACATAATAACAAAAAATGCTCCCCGTTTCTGTGTTCTCACCACTCTGGAGCATTGTCCAGATTTGGGAGAGACAAGGTTTGCAGGAAGAAGTAATATCTTTTAATAGAACATACGATATTGATGGGGGGGATGAATTTTAGACACACAAGCCCTCTCTGAGCTCTTTTTTTTTTTTCAATAGTATCAGTTAGTTTAATAAAAGATTAATATCTCTTCCTATGAACCTCACATCCTTAGACGATCAGAACTAAAACATTTCTGCTATGACTTTGGCCTTAGGTCAGCGTTCTTTAAAAAGTCTAGGATGCCTCTGGCAGATGCCTCCTCCTCTGAAGCATGAAGGTTTACTGTGTAAA